TGCATGGCATAGTCTAGGGGATTTACACTTCCACTGTTCCAGAATCTCATCATGCTACGAGTATGAGAAAAATATGTGTACACACTTTTCAATGTACATGTAGATGTACTGCAAAGGAGAACCACGGGCCCAGAGTTTACACAACAGTTCAGCGGAATCCTCACTGTAACAAATCTAAGATTTGATATCTTACATCAATTTTCTGTGTGTCCATGTTGTCAGTACACACACTGTATGCTTGCTCGTATTAATTAAGCATGTGCATGTACATGCAATCCCTTCACTGCTAATATAATCCCTTCACTACTATTTGATCATGTTATTTATCAACCATAAATTCAATCTAGTACTTTGCTTCTGCCACTACCAGTACATAACGGAGCACTGTAAGATGTTGAGCACTCCGCTGAATATGAAATCAAGAACTGTGTATCAGAAATTCCGAGAAATTAGCATGTACAATGTACATGTACCTTCATTATCAAACCTTTGCTTGAAATAAATCATGCTAATGTAGCTCTGTGATACAAGGCTAATCCCACACAATTGAAGACAAAAAGATAAGTCCATTCTGAAAGGACAGGGACATACATGTACTAACTTTAACCCTGTATGTAAAATCGTATTGAAATTGGAGGATTTGGGACTGTTAGGGTTAAAACGAAAAGTACAAACTGCACCTAATGGAAAATATATACATGCCCATTGATCCTGAATAATACACTTAGAAACCATTTCTTATGTACATGTACATGTATGGTATCGCGGTACATGTACAAGTAGGTAGGCCTTCCTTTATCCGGTACGTGGCTAAGATTCTGGTATCCATTGACAGGAAGGTCCTTCAGTCCCATAACGGAGGTGGGGTACACAAACGTTAACAAAGAGGAAGCCACAAATGAAGGAAACCCACATGTGGGTAGAAACAAAATCACTCCAACATCTGTGCCTCAGGGCCCTGTGGATGAATTGTTCCCACAGTTGGAAACCATTTAAAAATTGGGCAAAAATAAGTGTGGAGAGTTGTGGTACGGTGCAGTGCAAAGGGGACTGTACATGTATGTATACATGCGTGTACATACTGTCCACAGAATAAGTACTATTGGTGCGGGCAGCCAAAATTTGCAGAAAATCCTTGGTTTTCTCAGATCTTACCGTACTTCTGAATGTACATTTGCCCCAATAATTTCAAGGGGAGACATTATTCAGTATTGACAGCTGCACTGGAAATTTTCTACAATTTGACAAGCATCACTTTTGTACTGACAGCCAGCCATAGTTTAACCAGCCACTGGCTGGCAAAAATATGACTTTTACATATTGCACATGTACATGTATGTACATAGAAAGATCAGGCCCAGTATGGCCTCATTTACCATTTCAAAAGAGTTACTACAATGTACAATATATTATTGGGCCTACCAGCAGTACAACACTCAGAAGTGCCTATTTACAATGTCTACAGTACACACTCTGATACACTGCAGCAGTGTGTAATTTGAGATTGGAAAAAGCCATTTTGAGGTAAGGAATACACTTTTTGTAAGATTCTTTTTAATCTTTTCCAAGCTGTGCGTGCCTCTCATCAGAACTTGCTTATTTCAAAATTGAACCTAACACAGTTCCTTCTCACAACACGTACGGTAATACCAATGTAAGTACGGTATACATATTGATCTTACTAAACAAGGAGTACAACATGTATGTACATGAATAAAAATGAACTGGGACTGAACAAACTATGAGTGTGAAGAATATCCAAAGACATCGACTGTGAAGAATATCCAAAGACGTCAACATCTTCTTTCGTGATTACCAAAATTAACCCACTGCGACAAATTTAGCAAAAGTATGTCAGAGCAGCATTCCTTGAACTCTTATGAACTGCAAGCGACAAAAGATCTTTGAGACATTCCTTCAACATATGGCAATTTAGCTCCGACTATCAACGTCAACCCAGTCAGGCATGTCCCACACTATTCCTGGTAAGGTGTTGTTACCAAGTGGCCAAGGTGTAGGCCGCATCACATACCTATAGCTCTTATTAAATAACAGATGTAGTGTTGACAGGATGAAAGATTAGCTGATGTAAAACAACAAACAGGGAAGCAGGGAATTCAAAAGCATTGATCAGCATTTTCCTCGAAATTTCCCTTCAGAGATCTAACAGGCTCAAATGTTGTTCGCTTCCTTTCACTTTCACAACAAAAGGCAGCGGACAGGATGACTGCTTCAATAACACAGAGAATCATTTTTTGGCTTTTTTGCATAATGTTTGATGTTTCATTCTTTTGGTTTGTCTCATTTTATCAGCGACACCATATTACCATTCCATGTAAATGAACAAAACAATGAAAAGTACATGTACTGACATGAAATCTAAAAGCATTCTTTTCAAGAAAAATAAATGAAAAGAAATATTAGTTCTTTAAATGTTTGCTATCCAAAAGACGGCAAAATGTAACCCTGTTAATCAGTTGGCAGACCACTGTGAGAATGCCTACATGTACATGTACATGTACAACAGTTTGCAAATTCAAAACAGAAATCCTCACAATTGCATGTAATGGAATCAAAAACATTCTTCACAAAGGTTTGCAGCGGCTTACCCTAACACACATCCTTGTAAAGAAAACATGAAAAGAGTTCTATGTAGGCCTATTTCACTTTTTAGGACATACAACGTAGGCTTAGGCCCTAGGCCTATCACTTTCTGACCGCTGTTACAATGTATCACTGTACATGTTGTAAGAGGGAACATATTATTAGCAGATTGGTGTTGTCCATCCGTAAATTACACTGCAGCAGTCCTCAAACTCAAGCAGGAAACATCGACTTAGGCTATTTTCTCTCCCAAATTCCTGAACCTTGGAAATGTTTGAAATTGAAGACCTAAATTTTGTGGAAATAATACAGGCCTACGGCCTACAACGTGCAGTGTTGACAGTTGAGTTCGCTAATGCAACAGTGCACATTACGTTGACCGCCAGAGCACAGGCGACTTTCTGTCACTTTCAGAATACTGCTTTTTTTGAGTGAAATTATATTTACAGAATCTTTCACCTAAAAAGCTTGTAGAAAATACTCACATGTTGTCCCCCGAATGCCTGTCTTCCTCAGAAGCCATAGTTTGCGGTCGAACACTTAATTTTTTTACAAACAAAAATCCTGCGCGTTGTACCTTACTTCCCGTCGCGGCGTTGCCAACTTCATGAATGAAAAAAATTGTCTAGAGTGGCATACACATATTGACAGACGTGTAGTGGGTGTGTACCGTGGATTCATATGTCGTACACGTTTTACATGACGCTGTGGTTTTGATTTCAACTGCACGTTAGACGAGGCTGCCCACGGGGGTAATAAAACTGGGCAAAGTGCGCAAGAAATAGAAATCTTGGGTAGAAATCTTGAGGCTTTTGCTCAGCGTTAGCCCGCCAGATAAAACTCTTCATAAAAAACACGAAAGAAGAGGATTTTTATTGGAAACTTGACAGGCTGACAGGACGGCTTTCCAAGTGACGAAAGACTTTGTCGACCATACGTGAGACGCATTTTTTTACGAGCCGACATTTTTGCGGTGAAAAAAAGTCACATACAACGGTACCAAATTAAATTCACCACCACGTTTAAGTAATTCTTATGACAGGTAAACTGTTAAATTATGAAGGGTTAGATGAACTACAGAGCTAGAAAACAATTGAATTAAAATGCAATTTAATCTAATCTATAGTCCAATCTAATATCTGATCTGATCCAAATCAAATTCATTACAGAGCAAGTTAGTTCCGCACCAAGTTGAAGTGCAACTCAAAGGTGCACCACTGCCAAAAGAAAGAAAACTGCCCTAAAATTGGACTTGACAAGTTGCAATTAACGTGCAGTTCGCTCACGCACATGGCTCCCATCCATCAGTATGATGATCAACAACCAACCATTAAATACTTCCGGTCACCCGTCTGGTCTGTAATCGATGGCTTATGATGCCTTAGTCATAACTAATTGGTGGTTTGTGCCATAAATTAACCGCTATTACCCATTGTAAACTTTTGGTTTCATTCACGAAGTCTTTTGTGGTGAAACAATCGACTTTGAAAACTCTTTTGCCCACGTAAAATTAGTCATCACTGAGAAGCGGTTAGGCAATCCACGGGAATTACAGAGAGAAAAAAAGCGCTCACTATTAAAAATAAAAGAAACAGAACACCAATTGTAGAACAAACACCGACTGACAAAACCAAGTTTTTATATTAGTTTCAAGTTCTCCAAACTTTCTTTTCCAAAGTGTATTCAGGATCTACTGGCCGATTCGACACGAATTTCAAGTGAGTACAATCCGTCAAGATTTTTATGAAGAACCGTCCACTTTTAATACCAAAATAAAAATATACTGAAGGCAAGAAATCAGTAAGTGATGACTGAGCGAGAAGGTGTGGATTCGTTCCCTCGAAATAAAACAGCAATGTTATCCAGTAAAGTGATCTGTTCGGGAGAGGGCGCCCTTTACGAAAAGCATGGGCATCCTGCGTGGAAGTTCACTGATATTGTGTTCCGGCTAGTAATTTGGAGTAAGATGTGGTATAACCAACTTAATATTCGTAGGGAAAAGAGAGTTGATATCTAGAAATATGATGAAGCCATCTATATTTCAAAGGTTGCTCCACTCGTTCTGTGTAAGATGGCCCACAACTGTCACGGCAAAAGCGCAACGGAAAAAGCAAAGGCGCCTTGACAGTTGTGGGCCACCGTATTCTGTGCCTTTGCTGCACCCCTATAGTTAGCCCTAATTCAAAGTGTGATCCGCCCCGGACTTACATTGCCCCCAAGCCTCATTCTAAGCATGCTCTACCTCCGTCGGCCTGGTGTTGCTCCAGGCTCAACTTCAGTCTAGCATTCCCCTCTCCTCACTCAAAGCTTGTTCCCACCCAGTCTAATGCTGCTCTATTCGACATTTTAAGAACTCACCTTTGCAAATGTTCAAACATTCAAATAACTTATTCGTACAAAACTCCGGTAGCATTCGGGAATACATGTTTTTTTATTCTACAAAAACACACACTGCACATTTTGTAACACAAATATTACAAGGAAATAATATGAGGAATAATAGTTTCAGTTTTCATTTGTTGCCTGTAAAACTGAAAGAAGAAAGATGCGAGGGGATATGCATTTCATGGTGTTTAAAATCTATCGACTGTTTCATGGATTTTACATTTAATTGATAAAAACATTTAAGATTTCTGTTTAATATTCTTGATCTGCTGGTCACGTTTATTAAAAAGGGAAACACTCCAAAAACCTCCCAAAGCAGCTACATACACGTATATGAACTAAAAGCCTATGTATTCTTTCCTATCATCCAAAAAAAGATACCATTTAATTTTGTGTTGACTTCGGCCCGATATTTAAACGAAAAGGAAGTGGACATGTATCTACACTATACCTGTACAGGATGGAATGACATAATTACATCTTTAAAAATTCTTGACTGGTTCAGAGGAGCCCTTTAAACTTTCTCCTGGTCGTGATGACAAACTTCATCAAGTCGTTGGATTTGTTCAGCTCTTCCACCATTTCGTCCAGGCCCTCGATAGTCGGGTTGCAGTCTGTCACTATGAAAGAAAAAACGGCAAGCAACAACGGGAGTGTGTGGTGAGACCAGTGACTGCGAGGAAACAGTCGAGACGTAGGATTAGCCTATTTGAGTTATGGCAGACACAGAAGAGGGCGCTATTTGGCTGGGGTAAAAATCTTTAGTTTTGTGCTAATGCCAAGCCATGTTCCTCGAGTGTTAACGGGAGACTGTGGTTTCACAACTGGGTAAAAAGAAAAAGGCTCGCTAAGTTCGACCGAACAGAAGTCTGTGGGGGTTTACAATGAATTGGAAGTTTGACTAACTGCTCAAAATGAATGCACCTAGTCTAGACCCAACAGCCTTCTTTTTGGCGGGCTTGTGCCCAATTGCTGTCGCACGCCCAATCTCGGACACATTCCCTACAGTTCCCACAAGCAGGCCAGGGGTTCAAGGAATGCTTGTGTAAGTTTTGTTGTTTTAAGGATGACGTGGTCTCCTTGCGTAGGTTGCTTACGATTGTATTTATTGTTCTCGATCTTGATCGTGAAGAGGAACACTCTGTTGTGGTCTTTTTGGTCGAGCTGGGTGAAAGCAAACTGCAGCTGTCCGCCTAGACAAGGGATTGATAGAAAATTGTTAGACTACGGTTTTTATCATAAACGTAGGGAGAACCTAATTCTGGTGATTTGGACTGAGTTTTGTGGTGCACGTGCAATAATCCAAGAAATAAATGCAACTTAAAAACTACTCTTACAGTGTTCAAGTTGCATTTATTTCTTGGATTATTTCAGATCATTGATGGCCCATTTGTGGCATTTCAAATATCTTACGCATTTGTGGTGGAACAACACCTAAGAAAAATCACTGATCGAGAAAGGGTTAATGACCCAGCTGAATTACATACAACAAAAAAGTTTCTGAAGTACCAAATCTCTCATTTTCCTCCAGTCAACCTTCAAGTGCTTCCTCCAAGCACCCTGCTGAAATACACTCACATGTAACATTTGGAATCTGCTCGGTGAAAAAAACAAAACCTCGAGGGAATTTAGGTTAAGGGCTGTAATGTGAGGGGGGAGTTACTTGATGTAGACCAGGAAAAGATCTTTGTTAGAGTCTGAGGAACCTACCACCGATGTTCTTGAACTGCAGACCCAGCCTGTCACGGTACAGTCCCCCTGCCTTATTCAGTTCTCGTAGTCGGGCTTGGGTGGCCTTCTCTTGAGCCTCTACCACTGCGTGCATGAAAGTACAACAGGGAGTTGACCTTTGACCTTACAAGTTTTGTTTTCAGTTTCCCTGACATGAAAGAGAACTTCAACGCGTGCTTTTGATGTCAGCAGCAATGTTTATTTCGTTTTTTTACACAATAGATTGTATTAACTATATCTAAAAAGTGAAATTGTAATTTACCATTGTGACTCATCTTTCAAAGCCCTTTGAAAATATTTACGGTTTTCAACTTACAGAGTGACCTGTTCATTGGTTTCACTGCACTTGGAATAGTAATACTCAGCAAACTGCTTCGGTTTTTTGCATGTGAAGGGTGCTGTTACATGTAAGTGTTAATACGGTTGGTTTCACAATAGTGCGCCTGCAAGAGTTTGCAATGTGTTGACCAATCACAGTGCGTGAAATCTGTCGACCCAATGCGCGTTTGGAAAGGGTCAACAGATTGCGCGCCTTGTGATCGGGAAACGCGTTGCAAACTCTTGGAGGTGCACTACTGTGAATCGCCCGTATTAACTGTGATAGACAGCTCCACTATCAACTGAAACATGTCTGGAGTGAAGGCTTCGCTGGAATCCATCTCAAAAAGAACAGTTGAAGGTTTCTGTTATAACCTTAACATAATGATGTTGTTAAGTCCATAATGTTTGAAGGACCACTTTGAACTTAAAAGGTTTGAAGTGAGTCTGCTTACTCACAGGGCAAAAGTAATTTTGGCAAACTGCAGAAAGTAGCAAAACCCGAACGATGAAACTTCTAAAAATAAAAATCCTGAAGCCTTGCGTCAAAATTCCTGAAATCAAGGAAAATCCTGAGAAACCACATCCGTGAAAGAGGTTAAAGCGCATGCATAGCAATCAAAGTAGCATGCAATACAAAACTTGAAAACTAGGACTGTTTTATCTCTCATAGGATTTTCACTGTCTCATTCATCAAAAGTCAGGTACTCTTGGTTATGGGCTTTGGCTTACTACAACAGCAGGCTAATGGCAGATAGCCACAGCCCTAGTAAAAAAAACAATTCCAGTATCTGTACACAGTCTTACAATCTCTCTGCTGGTTGTACTTTGCCGTCTCGGCCTGCAGTTCCTTCTCCTTCTGCTCCTTCTCGAAGAGCAGTTCTTGGCATCTGGCCGACGACTCTTCGATCTGCTCTCGTAGCTCCTGCAGTCTCCTCCTGTTGACCTCTTCCACTGGGAGAATTGACGAGTGTCAAAGGCGGAGTTTGATCCAAACATGACTGAGTTTGTGGGGCTTCGACTACATGAGTTTCCCATAGTTCTTTTGGGACCCAAAATTGGTGTGGGGACCCTCAAAGTTCCAGTCAGCCCATTTTTCTTTTATCTCTGTTATCTGAGGGAGCAAGCTTTTATTTTTCAATGCATGCAAAAAGGACTGACTGACTGACCATGAGTAATCGCTTGGCAATTTACCCTCTAAATTGAGCTTGGGGCAAAAGGATGTGTTGCAGTTCTCTAGGAGTGAACGGCTCTCGTCAACTGCGATTAAAACAGAACACAAGTTCCTGCTCCAAACTTTTCAGACACTGCCACAGTTACAAGCAAGTCTCGAGCAGAGCAGATATCCAGTGGCACATTTTTCTTTGGGGGGGGGGAGGCAGTGTACTGTAACCAGTGTTGTAGTTGAGTTTTTCATGACATTTCCAGGCTGCGGTAACCCTGCTTAAGGCTAGATCGAACAGGCTACGTAGACATGACTACCTTTACCCAGGGGGCCCGCTCCTTGTCCGCTAACCACCACGCCCCAGCAACGTACTATCCCAGCAGGGAGAGATTGTTTGCAGTGTTCCTAACGCTTCCATCCACTCACCTTGTTTATTGCTGAGCTCTTGTTGCTCCAAATCCTTCAGTTCCTTTTGAAGTGATGCAATTTTGTCTGCAAAGGGGGGAAAAAATGACGGAACCAAACTCAAGTGCTGTTCAGTTTTTTCTTCAAGGCAACAGTTTTCACATCCACTGCTGCGGTAGGTTGAAATAACAATATATGCAGTTGGGGCAAGATAGGAACTTATACTACGGAAAGTGGTTTGCGGTGACACCGCTTAGCTTGAAAGATCGATCTCTTCGTGGGCACGTCTGGCTCCTTTTACCACTTGCCGTAAGTATACCCAAAATGAAAACCTTCAGATCTTATAGGAACTTGTAGGTTAACTAGGCAGACTTCACGTATTTTCAGATGAGTACCTGTCTTCTTTTGAAGCCTAGTTCTACACTGCTTCAAGGAAAGATCAAACTAAATTTGCAGCCCCCTAAAAAGTGATTTCTCCAATGAGGCAGTTATTAGAAATTTGATGAGAGGGGGGGGTGGAATCAGGAAAATAATCTGCACCCATTCAGAAAATTCTTCAGGGAAAAATCTGGCTCGTGTGACGAAATGAAAGCGGAGTAGATAGGCAAAGCTACAACTCCCTTCTCCTTGCCCCACCCCCCAAACAAACCCTCTAAGGACTTATCCAGTATCCGTGTTAACTGAAGGGAGGCTTTCTGTAGAGCATCTTCGGGTGAATCTTTTTATTTCGAATTCAACAACAAAGTACAAAGGATCTACTCATGCAGATCACAGGGAACAAAGACCCACCAAATTTTCGAGCCAAACGTGTCTAGACATCTTTGTGACATAGACGCCCTGTTTTTCACTTCAAGGCAAATGCGGACCCCTAGTTTTTCGACTCTGGCCCCGCCCTCAGTGAGGGTCAACCGTGCAAGCTCTCTGATGTGTAAAATAAAATCGTGAAAATAACAGCAACCTCTGCCTTGCTGGACGGCCAGCTGGTGCTCTTGCCAGTGTTCCTGGAGGGACTCCTGCAGCCGGTCCCCCGTCCAGTGGTTGAGGAAGGTGTCCTGGACCTGCAGGAGGTTATTGGTTAACTTGTCCAGTTCGGAGGGCTCGCCTATGCCAGGACAGCCGTGGTTTGCTGTTACCGCCATCATGCTGAGGGAGTTAGTGCTGGGGATAAGGGACAGAAGAAAAACTTCAAACTTCGAAGGTTGTGATGGTCCAATCAGGAATTCTTTCCATACTGTTTACGACTGAACCAAGCACTAGACAGCAGTTTTGTAGCAAACTCTTTCCACGACTGCATAGTCACGAGGTCCCTCATTTCGCCACCTACTGTTAAGTCAAATTGGTTTTCACAGTAAGTGGTGAAATAAGGGGCCCGGTGACTATACCGTCATAGACGTTACAAGGGACGTATTAACATGCACATGGTCATGAAATGATATGCATATGGTTTAAATGCATCAAAAATTGTGAGCACTGCCGTGCATGACTGCCGTGTGGCAATGGCTGAAGGCAAGTGTACCTCAGGCCGAAGGACTGAACACCAAAAACATGACAAATAAACAGGCATGACAGGCTTCACTTTTACTTTTATGAAATGAAAGTAGGAGTAGGCTTCAGTTTAGATTTTGTCTGTGAGCATTTGAAGTTTCCGTAACCCTTGAATACCGCCCTCTCTTGTCTTGTCACTTGTGTGGCACTGGCACTGTGGCAGAGTCCACCACAACATGACCATAATGAAATTGTCTCATCATGGAGCTATAGGCTAGCTCCACGGTCTCATGGACCACACGATGTTAATACAAGCCTATCGCAAATACTGCATGGGTGATTTTGCACAATGGTAGAAAGGCATTTGCCCTTTTTTCCTTCCCACAATGCCTTTCTAGTTATTCTACCACTGTGCAAAATCACCCATGCAGTGGGGCCTAGGCCTATTTGCGATAAGGTTTAGGCCTAGGCTTAGCCCCACTACTGTGGCATGGACTCTCACTCCTGATCCATCCTTAGCCACACATCCGTATACGCAATTTCGTGTCGGCGTACTGAACATTTTTGGCGCACCCACTTATCATCGTGGGCGCAATTTTTTTTGCACATGAACATGATCCTTGAGCTTTCCGTTTTCTAAAAACCATTTATTGAATGATTTCCCTCACGTTATTCAGGTATTTTCCAGTCTTTTTGCCTTTATCCATTCCATCTAACGGGCTCCATCTCTCAGTCGCCACCTTTAAAATAAGATCGTTGAGCAATGCGTCACTTGACCCCTCATCGTCTCGATAGCTGTTCCATCATGTCCATGTCAAGACATATGTAATAAACGGACTGAGCGATAAGATACTACATGTACCAATGGGCTCTTCCAAAACTTTGGCAGCAGGATGTCTTGACATGGCTAAGGATGGATCGGGAGTGAGAGTACGTGCCACACTACTCACTAGTGCCAGTGGGGCTAGTACTAGTAGATGATGACATGATGTATGGTTGGTTGGTTAGGCCTATCATGCCTATGGATAGATATCATTAACCCTTCTTTGGCTTTACAGCACAAATATGCACAAGTGCCCAAGATCACTCTCTTGCATGTTGGTGCAGTGCACAACAAGACACAGCTAGCTAGCTGTGCTTCTTTGAGATGTTTACCAAGCAAGTGACCCAAAGACTTGAAAGAGTCACTTCAGCATTAGGAGGGTTAAGTTGCTTTGGTTTGCCTCTGTCTTCTTAATTAAAACCCCCTGCATGCAAAGTTTTATTTTATACGTTACAATTTTACCCAATTAATTATGAACTCTGAGTATTTTACCTGCATACATCTATGGCAGACAAACAAGAATGCAAACGTACAAAATTCCGACTGTCTCAACAGTTTGAAAATGGCGGAAATTTGAGGTTAAAGTTGACACCGAATAATGATTGTTAAATAAATAATTTGTCCACAGAAATAAATACATATTATCAATTAAATTAACAAAAAAAAATTTGTAAACTTACAAATATTTAAATGCAGGAAAGACGTTGTCGTATATGATAAAATTACTGATAAACATTTTCTTTTAGGAGTTGTGAAAGAGGCAAGGTCAAATCCAGTTGAACTGATAACGTCATCACTAATTGAGATTTGAGAAATCAACAAAAAGTTTCTGAAGATCTGAATGTGCCAGGTGAAGAAGGCGGACATACGTGTAAATTATAGTACCTTTTGTAAATAGAAATCAGTAATTTTCGAGGAGAATGGACGAAGACGACATATTGACAACACTCAAGATTCTTATTATTGGAGAAAGTGGTGTGGGAAAATCGAGGTAGGCCAGGTTTCGATCGACATGATCGAGACTCTGTCTCTGACCAGCTGATGTGTTGCAATATTTTTCTGTCGGTGTAGGCCTACGTACGTCTGTAATCAAGTATTGCAGTAGCTTGCCAAACGTACGGTATAGTGCGTACGCACCTTCAGGAAACTGGATCGATAAGATTTATTGTTGGCCACACCATGGTTGATGGTCATACTGACAAACCAGTGATGTGTCCGGCTTAGAGGTGTTGACCATGTGCAAAAAGGGTGTCTAATTTACATGTTAGGCCTAGCACCCTGTTCCTTACTTTCGAGAACTCTAGTCACTAACTCTGTGATACTCCGTGTGACTTAGAGGAGACAAGGTTTACATGGCGTCATAACGCTATGGGGTTTTGGAAGCGAGTTTTTATGGTGAAATGGTTCACAGCTGTAAGAAAGCTATTAAATCAAATTTCCCCTGTCAGCATGCATACCTGCTTAATCTTTACCTCCTAAAAAGGGGATAACAAAAATTTCAGAGCATGAGACAGAATGTTTTTGAAAAAAAAAAGAGATTTTTGCTTATCAATTTTTCGCTTCCGCCTGTTGACTGTCGGTCCATTCATGCCGTTTGTGTTTATCAGACTGCACATGTGTTGAGCCCACCAATGACCGCGGGCCTGCTGCGCGTCTTGGCTTGACCATTTTCAGTGGCGGAGGATAACATCACACACGGTGCAGCACATGTGCGCGTCCAGGTCCGCGTCCAGGTCCCACGACAAAATCAACTAATGGTGTCATCCCCGTTAATGCACCCGGTTAATGCGTCATCATGTTTTGCAATATTCAAACGAACTGTTTAACCCTAACCCTCCTCAATACTCCAAAATTCTTCGGGCGGTTTTGGAGGATTTTGGAGGATTGAGGGTGAATGGCAAAAGTGCATGGCTGATTGCGAAGGATGCCACGAGTGAAGGTTGTGGGTTAGACCATGTGTTGTTCTTGCTCAGTCGTACATAACTTCAGTTCGATATTTCTTTTGAATCAACCGCACTGCTCAAGAATGCCATTCACACTGCCTCAACACAATGACAGAAATTGCCGGAGGATTTTGAAGGATTGAGGCAGTAGCCACACCACCAAGTAACATTTTCAAGAAATTTTGGAGGATTTCAGAGGATTGAGGAAGAGTCCAATTTTTTTCACACCACCCCCCCCCAAATTGGAGGATTCTGGAGGATTGAGGAGGGTCCCTGGCAAAAAAGGCCAAGGGGGTTAGCGTTAAGACCTTCATACAAACATGACAGATGTATTTTAGTTTGAGCAATAAAAAAAAAAAGGAATTGCTGTAAATTGTGTTTGTTTCCTTGCCTTCACACAGCCTTCTGCTGAGGTTCACAGATGACACATTTGATCCAGAACAAGCGGCGACCATTGGTAAGGACGAAACCATTGCCAACTCCTGCACACTCCTCTGCTGTGCAGGAAACCAATGGCATATTCTTTGTACTGATTGGGAATGAAGTCCTTTGTAGAATGTCAGTGGTTTCGTTAAGCCCTGCCATCCTTAATCCTACAATATTCCACGAAAATGGCCTTGTTGATAATGTTGGATCATGGAGGACTGGGATAATGATGATGTCCCTGTACCTGTTATTGTAGATTTTGTAGAAAATGATCATTTTATCGCTGGCTTTGTCAACTTCAACCACGTCATTTTTTGATAGAAATTATTTTTCCTGCCGATTGCATCGTAAAGGAAAAAACCTAAACTGTAATTTATCTGTGTTGATCTGTAAGCATTTATCGGAAAACACTGGAAAAAAAGTGGATAACTTTGCCATGGAAATTTATGATTGTGAAATGTGAAGATCTAAAAAAATCACACTCCTCTTTATCGTAGGTGTCGACTTCAAAGTGAAGACGCTGTCGGTAGATGGAAACACAGCCAAACTAGCGATATGGGTAAGTTTGTGATTTGAGTCCTCCCCCATGCTCACATATTTCTCCTGAGTAGCCACATTGAAAGCACCTGCTAAATGGAAGCTTTTGGCTTGAGCGATTCCAAGTCTAGGCTTTGTCTGTCTCCAGATGTGCCTGATTTCTCGCATCCCTGGCACCACCAAACTTTGGAGTGTCTAGCTCAACCAAACGTTGAGCATTGCTAAAGAAACATCAAACTATTCCAGACCTGACCGATGTCACTTGAGACGTGAAAGCATAATATCCTATTCACTGGATTCTTACTATTAAATCTTATATATAAACTTATATCATGCTTGGATCGGTGAATATCAACTCGGCCTTCCCATGGTGTTGCCTTGAAAGTGTCGGTCACACATGTATAATTGATTCTACGAAACTATCTTCCTCACAGGACACAGCAGGCCAGGAGAGGTTTAGAACATTAACGCCAAGTTACTACAGAGGAGCACAGGGTGTCATATTAGGTATATTATTATTGTATATCAAGTAGGTAAGAGTTCCATATACGGACATCGCAATATTCCCCCTTGCAGTGATTTAAAAGGCATCAGAAAGTGATAACAACATCATAACATATCCCCAAAAATCAAATTTAGCAGTGAAAATGTTGAATCATTTACTTAGAAAACACAATTTTTCAGACCAGGCTCATAGGGTTTGTGCACAGGGTGTCAAGTGATGTCTGTATATGGAACACTTTCCGTCAAATACATGTATATTAAACTATGGTAGGAAAAGTGTGGTATAGCATGTCATATGAAAGTGTGATATCACATTATGTCATATGAAAGTTTGGTATAGCATTATGTCATATGAAAGTGAGGTATACATGAATGAATTTTGTTTATAAATACGTATAACAAGGCAATGCCAGACTTCATGTTTTAGATCTGATAGTCTGTTGAACTGATGGATCTGCTGGTGTGATGGTCATTAAAACTTGTCCATGGTTTATTAAGTGAGGCTTTCATCAGGATAATGATAACAGCGAGTCTGGTATGGAGAAAGCTGCAGGATTATGTGGGTTTTCTTTGTCTTAGAAAGAATTTACAATTTCCCAGTAGATCCTCATTGGGCTTTTGATAACAATCAATGGAGAAGTCTTCTCCAAGGTGACAAATTTGGCCGTGCTTTGTTTTGTCAGTGTACGACGTCAGCAACCAGACCAGCTTCCAGCGGCTGGACCAGTGGCTGAATGAGCTGGACACCTACTCCACAAAGGGGGACATCATCAAGATGCTGGTGGGCAACAAGATCGACAAGGTCAGGCTCCCACCGGGCTCCGTGGGGGGGGGGCGAGGACTTTGCTGGATCCAATTCCACGATGGTCCCGCTAAGCGGGAAACATTGCTTGTCAAATTCTTGTGCTGAGCCAAAAGTTAGTTCACAACCCGTCACTGTGCACGGAATCAACTATGGCAATTTAGCGCTCAGAGGTGTGCAGTAAGAGTTGAATGCACCACAACGTATTTGAATTTCGGACGTAACACAGACAGTTTCTGAAGAAAGTGTTAGTTTAGTCTTCATCCCGGTTAACCGTCACCTGTTGAGAGGATACCGTGCACGATATGGGGCCGATGGGTACCCCCCTCACATGTTCAAACCCTATATACACTCTAGACTATTGTTACCTAACACATCCCCCCCCTAGAAGTCTGTAAAGAATTCCCAAGATTCCGATCAAACGATGACCAACACAAAGGTGGGGGGGGTTCTCTCCACCCCATATCTTGCATCATATGGTTGAGAGACCGGGATATCGTCTGTATTCTGTGATTGGGTAGATTCCTTCATCTATGTGTCCCTAGCTATTATTGCGACGGTCTCCACACTAATACAGAATGTTTGCAGGGGTTTATGACAGGTATCATTAACCATATGGCTTCAGAAAAATCAGGATTTTGTTCTAAAAAAAAGCCAGTATACGTACGCGTATGAAGAGCCTGATGTCGTTTGTGTCTTATGAATTTTCCCTCTACAGGAAAGGAGGGAGGTGACGCGGGACCAAGGCTTGAGGTTTGCCAGGAAACACGCCATGCTATTCATCGAATGCAGTGCCAAGACAAAAGACGGTGTCCAGTGTGCCTTCGAAGAACTCGTAGAAAAGGCGAGTGGAATATGATCCTATCATCATGTCGGCTCTTGGTTATTCTTCAGTTTCGTGTATCCACTTCACTTGATCCACCTCAGAAGCTTCGAAACGCTCGTCTTTTCGAATGCCCTTTGTTCACTACACTTAGCATGTTGTTACCATTTACGATTGTTTGATGTATTTAATTGGGTTTTCTGCAAGTGGTTTAACCCTAAAACCCTCTAGGTGCTCTGTGAATCACAGGGAATCTGGCTGCGTTTGGCCTGATTGGGGTTATTTCCTGATCATAAATGGTCCAAACTCTGGGTCTTTGACTCGAAGTCCAGACACGTCCTTTCATCTGCAGAACTCATTGGTTATATCCAAACATACCTTCATAGATTTCATCTTGGGCAAAAATGTAAGAACAAATCTTTGAGTGCGTCGAGTCTGAGTTCTTACCCCAATTCCTGTTCTGTTTTCTGACCCTAGATTATTCAAACGCCAGGTCTGTGGGAGAACGACAGCAAGTCCAGAGGGGTGTCGCTAGGGGGCCAAGGAGGGGCGGCAGGGCAGGGCTGCAGTGGCTACTGCAGCGTCATATGAGACGCTGTCCACACCTTCACAAGACTGTGCATTGGGCATCAGATCTCCACATTGGAACCAAATCACGGAATCAGAGACCATGCTATCACCTGGATTCGTCTTCCGCAGTCATGGAAATTCCTGAACAAGTATTTGCAGCAGTGTCTGCCGGGCAAATTCTGGAAGCTGCGTCAAATCGGAGAAATAAGAGTGTTGGTTATCCCGGACAGGCGGTGTGAAGTGCTTTGGAGACTCTCAAATGCCATGGCTTGATATCATGGAAAAATATGAAGATCCTTGAAATTTTTGTTTAGGGGGGGCAGAATTCTTTAAAAAATACTTTATTGTCCAAGGCATGGATCAAATCAAAGTATGTGTTAACATCCGTGCAAATGTAGAATAATTCTTTTCAACACCTATGCTGTTGGATTTAAAAAGATTTACTCCACGATGAGGCTTGCATCAGTGTTTTTATTGCTAAACGAAGTACACGTAGCTTCAGTTGGATCATTGAAGTTGGATCATTGAAGTTACAGATGTGCTTGATTTGTAGGGGGCGGGGGGAAATGGACATTGTGATAGGGGAACAGTTAGGACATGTAGTAATTGGAGTCGGGTTTACACAATGCCATTTCATAAAAGAGTCTTGCTAAAGTCATTTTGTGGTCCAGCAGAAATTGAACACGGCTTTAACCCTAAAAGAACCGGGCTGTTTTGTCCCATCTCACCAGATGCGGTTTTGTTGTGGTCATTTGAAGCACAAGGCTACACATGTAGAAAAAGTATACATTTTTGGCGGACCTGTCTCGGAAAAATATGCACTGCGCAAGAATAGTATGATCGATTTTCACAAAGTTGGTGTCTAAATAACCCCAGAGAGTTACTCTTAAAAAGGCTTTGAGGCTCAACTCCTATAAACATGCACTGCGGCAATATCAGACAGATGTTGAGGCCCCTCCCCCGGATCTTTCAGTGTTAAAGCACGCAAATGTACATAGAAAGATCTCAAAAAGGAATTATTTGCATGAAATTAAAAATCGTTGGGTCGATAATGATTTGGACAATGTGTCGATCCCAAATGTTTTATCAGTGTGGTGAAATGCTGGTGGTAAGGTAGTCATTGTTTAATTGAACTGTACACATTTTGGACTTTCCTAGTGTGAGTGTGGTCATGTTGGATGAGACAAATTGTACAGTGGTCAAATCGGGAAAGATATGTAACCCGTGTGTAGTAGCTACCTGTCGGAGTTGGTCTTTAGTTTCAACGTGGTTGATTCCAGTTACCACAAATCTCTTGATTATTCTGATCCGACCCGAGGAATAATCTCACGCCAAAGGGAGATCTCAACCAATCATGATGCCGAGATTTGTAGGTAGACGTAAATATTGAAATTGGAAACTATATTAACACCATTTTTATTTAATAGCTTAACCTGCTTCACTGTTGGAATTTTCGGAGGGTGAAATGTAAATTTCCTAAATTTTGTTTTTTGTCCTTCATTTTCCTACAACTTGTCTTGGGTCTACAAGAGAAGAAGAAATCTTCAAAATCACAGAGTTACGGTGATAATTAAATTACGTGGACAGGGAAAACCAACTATTAAAACAGTATGTAATCTTTCAAAATAATTTCTCCAGAAGTTATTTGCCTGCTTATGATGTAAGTAAATTGTATATTTATTTCTTTGCTTATTTTGGCTAATACGTGCAATTCACAATAGTTTCCCTCCAAGAGTTTGCAACGCGTTGGTCTATCACGATGCCCAAAATCTGTCGACCCAATGCGCGTTTGGAAAGAGGTGACAGATTTCGCACGTTGTAATTGGCCAACGCGCTGCAAACTCTTGGAGGCGCTCTACAGTGAGTATGAAAAAAAGGCAACAAGATTTCTGTTCAAGTTGGTGAAAATTGGATGGCCGACTAATCATTCTTCTTGGACAATGGGACAGAATGGGCTTGGGACCAAGTTTCAGTTTAGTTACACCAGCATAAATTCTCTTCAATTCTCCATCTCATTTATGAAATGTTCAGACAGGCGAGTCATTTCATAATCTCTGGATCAAATGTGTGTTGCATTAATGTGCTTATTACAGGTTCTAGCCCTGCAGAAAGATATCCTGAAGAAAGCAATGTTAAGTTGTGATTATTCATTCATTGTTGTCAAGTTAGTTTCTAATAAAGATGCCACGGTTATTGCAGTGTCTAGGACTTGGTTCCAAGCCCATTTTGTCCCATTGTCCCAAAAGAATTATTAGTCGGCCATCCATGACCGTTTATGAATAAATAATATATTATTGGAGAGGAGATAGGTGGTTTTAAGGTGCTACTGCTCACTTGGGTGTAAAGGTAACAGTTTTCACCAACTAAACGCTGATAGACACTGTATTGTGACTAGCCCGTATTGTCCTTTGTTTTTTGAAAAAGTCAGTTCAGGGTGGTTTTAATGTCGTTTAGGTAAGCATAATAAGTTTTTTCCACCATTTTTATAAATTATTCGTCAAAAGCAATCGGAACTTGTTTTGGTTTGTGATTATTTATTCAATCATTTGTGCACGAATTCGATCCAGTTACTTTACAAGCTGGACATGACTTCTCCCTCTGCATGTGTTTCTCTGCTTCAAACAATTTTAAAAGCCAATATGAAAAACGTATAGCGTGTTTAAAATGTACATTGTCAATATAAAAAATGATATGAAAGCAAGAAGTTGTCATATTATTTTCGGCGTGCTACCTTGATTGAGGAAAGTGTTCTTCTTTTATTTGAAAGCTTTTGAATTTGGCACTCGTAAAATAACTGCGTTTTTGCCCGTATGATTCCATGTCGTAAGAACATTCTTTTGGCAACCCATTTTGCTCGTCACAGTATGTTTGGTTCTTTTGACCACCCGCCATCGGGCATGATAACGCCCTCTGTTGGGCTTGGCCGGTATTGGGGCGGGGCAGTTTGCACATTGTGAAGGTTGATGAGCACGTTTTCAATTCATTAAGAGACGGGCGCATGATAGTCAAATCATTGCGCAAGCCTTCTTCGATCAGAGCCAGCTGTTTGGTTTTTCCTGGTTATGCGTGACCTCGGAATATCCTACCCTAATAAGGCATCAAAGCCCCACCGAAACAATCTATTGAGATCATATTTTTGAATAACCACACCCAAATATTTACCTACCTAAGCTCCGCCCACGGTTTGAAATCATGACCAATTTTGGACATGCTTGCGTGCACGACCGATTCAATTTACGAGGAGGGTCGTTCAATGCACCTTGGGACTCTTTCCCTACCCTGGGTGTTTGGCAACGGACCAGAAATTACTTATTTACTCATGAAAATAAGCAAAGTGCGAACGTCAGCGTAGTACCGTGGCGCTGGGAAAAAGACAAGTCTTTCCATGGGGGCATTGGACTGATTGGGTGGCACAAATTGACAAGATAATTTCTCAATCCACCATGACCAACAGTAATGTTATGAAAACCTATCATTTTGCACCAAGCATGGCAGACACGAAACTGAGACAAATAAACATGCGAAGAATATCAGTGCACCGTTTACTACAGGGGTTCCGTAAATATGCTGCCATTTTCAAGAATATTGGACCTGTGTTTTGAAACAAAACCTGAGAAAAATTCCCAAACATGTTCAATCCTTCTCTAGGCCGTATTCTGTTGGTTTCACCGTGACTGAAATACAGTCATAGTTGAGGAAAGTACAAATATCCGAAGACGGAACCAACGATGGGCCTAAAGCCGTGCGTGCCGACTTCCGAAGCAGGTTTCAAATAATTTCTTTGAGGAGGGAGGAGGGTTAACCTTATTTTCGGCAATCTGACCCAGCCCAATCCAGCAGACTCGCATTTCAGGTATGCCATTCCGTAGGAGGAAAGGCTACTAGTTTGTAGCTTTTCTCAAAATACTGTTCAGAAATGAAAACGAGTTCACTTCACCCCTTGTTGGTGTGGGAATTTGTTTGAAACCAGTTGCAACATTTTGCAGCTAGTTCTAAAGCCTTTCTGAAACATCGAACCTGTTAAATTAAAACAACCTTGGCGTGCGATCTATCATATTAATTTCCTCGGAATTAAATGTCTTTTAACTGTACTTAATACAGCAATTAATTCAGGATAATTATTTTAGATTTCACTATCGCGTGAGTGTTGGACTTTAAAGTTCGCTGCTGTAAATGATTGACAGTCCTCGACCTGTTTTGATGGCACTGCGTTTTCCGAGGCCAAGGTGTAATCATATATTCTTTCCGTCTTCGAGATTAGAAAAAAATGGCCTTATCGCTGACACGAGTGGGCGTCACCCAGGCAACATATGCAAATCAGCACTGCGACGATTTCCATATTTGGCTATACGAAAGCAGAGCGGTCGCTAGGGAGGCCAGCCAATATGAGCTCTAGTTTTGCGGCTGCGCCTCGCACACCGCAGCGGGACTCCAGCGAGTAAACAGGTGGTTGTTCCTGCCCACAAAAGGCAGTTTCGGGTGAGTAGGTGTTTTGTTGATTTTTCTTTTGAAATTTGCCTTAATTTAGGTATTTGCTTTTCCAGAGAATGTCAAGTATAGCTTTGTACAAAGTCAACAAAGTTTGGAACAAATAAGGTTCTCTGAGGTCTCTGTTGTCACGCGAGATGATGTTAAATTTAATGCATTGTGCAATGCCGTGCACAATAAAATAGATCGATCCGGCAAAACCGAAACTTCTCCCATGAACTAAAATAGGAAATTCTCGAACTGTATTTTGTGCTCAGGCTGAGTTGCCAAACTGCAGGGCCGGCTACTTTCGTTGGTTAAATTGGATTGAAATCAGCTTGTCAACCCCCTCCCCTCTGCTGAAATGTCTTGGCCGTATCTTGAAGTTAAGATGAAATGAATTCATTTTACTTAACGCTTGTGACGATGAAAATGAAGCACACATCGAAATACGAGCATTTGCGTTTTGTCTTTTGTGTTTCTTGGGTCCAATATTAATACAAGAGGACCCCCATGTCCACAGCTGAATACCGCTGTTTGGCATTGAAACAATTCTTTTCGATTCACATAGAAACATCGCCACCCACGAGCAGTGGCATTCGCCCAAATGGCCGCCTGATCTATGCTTCCGTTATTGCGCTCCGAGATAACAGCAAAAACCTGCTTAATGATTAAAGATCGCGTGCCATGCCACGCTCATTTCACAAAATCAGACCAGCCTCTGTCGGCGTAATGACGCTGTACATAAACATGCCATGGTTTAAAAACCAGCAACTTGAAGGAATACGCTTGTGTTCGTGGACGGCATAGGAGCAGCGCATTGCCCGTTGGCGAATGTACGTCCCCCCGGGGAGCCTAAAATATGACTCACAGAGCATCCGAGAAGCCCCTACAAGATGACAGATGGTTTCCAGGGATCTGTCCCGATAATGACTCATAAAAAGAACTAAATGTTTACAATGGGGTCGATGTAAAGAGATTCGAGACAAAAGCAAACCTAGCCAGCACCTATACCTACATGAGACAAAAAATAGACTTGTTTTATTTGTGAAATAATGTTTGGCCCAAATAAAAGCTAAAATTGAAGTGCGTCTAGCTGAACGTTAAAACTGACATATTCCCCTCCCTTTTTTCAGTGCTAGCCTGTCATGAACAAAACTAACCTGGTAAAACTATCCCAAATATGAAAAATCATCTCTAAAAACATACAGACATGAATGAATGAATTAATAAATAAGCAGGTGGTAAAATGAGTCGGGCCGTAACTTCGAACATTATCAGTTTTCTTGAGGTTTCAGTCCGACCTCGGGCGACATCGCGAATTATTGAGGGGAAAAAAAAACAACTAGAGCTATAAATCATTCATCGTAGCGCTACAGACATAACATTCTTTCAGCTTGACTGGAATAACGGAACGATTGAAAATGTTGCGGGTACAGCATATAATTATGCGTGCAGCCCGCGAGAGAAGGTTTTGTTCAGAAAAAAAGTCAGGACATTTTTGCGCGGTAATTAAGAAACTGCGCATTGCATTCACAAAGATTATCAATCTCGTGAAATGTGAAATGCTTATATATATATTTTTTATACCACCTGCCGGTGTTGTGACATCTTCAATTTTCCAGAACTGGTTTAGACAAAGCGGTATTATTTTCCTCCTGTTCTGAGGCACCGCCGAGGAAATAGTAGTTTTCCTGAATTGAAATGGGTAATTACCGCAGGTCTGGTTGTGGAGATGAACAGCGGAACAGAAAAATTTTGGACAATGAGATTGAGACAAGCGGGCGATTAACTCTATTTTGTGTCCGGTCAAGGCTGCCAGCGCTGTTGTGTTAAAATCGTCCTCCGCGTGTTCTGCTTTCCAATTTCCTTGAATTACCTTCAGACCAGTCTTTGTTTTAGTCTCCTTCCCATCAGTAATCCATTTTCCTTCCTGTTTCAAAAACAACCAATAAATCATCGACCTCAAAGCCGACAGCTTCTTCACGTTGATACTCTGTATGTCTCGGGGGAGGAAGTTCAATAAAGGGAAAAGCCTAAATGAAAAAAAAGAGGGAAAGTACGGTTGGCCAGTATTTTGTACATTTTAAAAGAGTGATTTTTTTTCAAAACATTATCTTCCTGAAAGAAAAAAAACGAGCAACTACAAAAAAAACCACAACCCCGAAATGAAACGGCTTCATAGTACCATGAATCCCATTTCTTAACAAATCTTTTAAACAATTTTTCCTGAAGATAAATAACAGTTGGGAGTCTTGTAAAAGCCACGTTTTCGTGTTTTAACAGAATGACGAGAAGCCACTTTTAAATTAAATTCGTGACTGTGTGTGTACATTAAACTCTCTGCGATTCCTCGTTTCACGGACTAACTGTACTGCATCGTTTCCAGTGATAGTCCCTACACAATTTCATTTCTTTCGCTTGTTATGTTTCTTGCAGATAACCTTCACAGCCAGAACAAACAACGAAAAACGTCATGTGCGACGACGACGTTGCAGCCCTTGTGATCGACAATGGCTCCGGTATGTGCAAGGCTGGCTTCGCCGGAGACGATGCTCCGAGAGCCGTGTTCCCCTCCATCGTGGGAAGACCACGCCACCAGGTAAATTTCCTGGTCAAATCATATCACATCAATAACAATATGCGTCTGTTGGGTGTGTTGTCTTGAAATGTCGCTAAAGCAAATCTGTGGCATTTTATTTTATTTTTTTTATTGTTCAGGGTGTTATGGTTGGCATGGGACAGAAAGACAGCTACGTTGGAGATGAAGCCCAGAGCAAGAGAGGTATCCTGACCCTCAAGTATCCCATTGAGCACGGTATTGTCACTAACTGGGACGATATGGAAAAGATCTGGCATCACACCTTCTACAACGAGCTGCGTGTGGCACCAGAAGAGCACCCTGTGCTGCTGACTGAAGCTCCCCTGAACCCCAAGGCCAACAGGGAAAAGATGACACAGGTGAATAACTACACATCATTTAAGTATCTGTATTTAATGGTAACGTCAAGTGTTTCTCGAATTATGTAAGTCTTTTGAAATGTCAGTTTTAACTGCAGTTTATTTGCCTCTTTTAACTCCAGATTATGTTCGAGACCTTCAACACACCCGCCATGTACGTTGCCATCCAGGCCGTGCTGTCTCTGTACGCCTCTGGCCGTACCACCGGAATCGTGTTCGACTCTGGTGACGGTGTGTCCCACACTGTGCCCATCTACGAGGGCTATGCCCTGCCCCACGCCATCCTCCGTCTGGACTTGGCCGGCCGTGACTTGACTGACTACCTGATGAAGATCCTCACAGAGCGTGGCTACTCTTTCACCACCACTGGTAAGTTACTGTCATTTCGTCTCTATGTTTGAGGCATAAGTCCATTAAGTCAGCACTAGGCGTTTGTCTGAAGTGATTGTCAAAACTCTATAGTATATGTTGATATATATTTCTGGTTCTTGCAGCCGAGCGTGAAATCGTTCGTGACATCAAGGAGAAGCTGTGCTACGTTGCCCTGGACTTCGAGCAGGAGATGCACACGGCTGCCTCTAGTTCCTCCCTGGAGAAGAGCTACGAGCTCCCCGACGGTCAGGTCATCACCATCGGCAACGAGCGGTTCCGTTCTCCAGAAGCCATGTTCCAGCCCGCCTTTCTGGGCATGGAGAGCTCTGGCATCCACGAGACCACGTACAACAGCATCATGAAGTGCGACGTGGACATCCGTAAGGATCTCTACGCCAACACCGTGCTGTCTGGAGGCTCCACCATGTTCCCCGGCATCGCCGACAGGATGCAGAAGGAGGTGACGGCACTGGCTCCGCCCACCATGAAGATCAAGATCATCGCTCCCCCAGAGAGGAAGTACTCTGTATGGATCGGTGGCTCCATCCTTGCCTCTCTGTCCACCTTCCAACAGATGTGGATCAGCAAGCAGGAGTATGACGAGTCTGGCCCCAGCATCGTGCACCGCAAATGCTTCTAGGAGGCGAACTTTGAACTCGAAATATCACATTGGCCTTCAGTCTGGCTTTCTTTCAAAACCTATAAGACTGTGAAAAACTGTATGACTGTGGAGACAACACGTGTCCTTTTTGACAGCTTAATCAACAAAAGAACAAATTCATCACGATTTTACCTTTTGGTCCAGGGTATCTGTAATTTGCTCTGTTATTCAGCAGAATGAACTCAACGAATGATTGAGTAAAAGCATAACGTCAATATCTGAGGCCATATTCAAATTATATATTGTATTCACGGACGAATGTGTTGAGTGCTGCTGGGTTTATGCCAACATGGGTGAAATACTTGGGTGGATAGAAAGTAAAACTTGTTTCTTTGGGTAAAGATAATTTCCTATTCCATGGTAACGTTTTCTTGCGATTGGGTGAGTATTACACTACTGCCTTTGTTTGAAACGACAAATTGATTCCTACAACACTTACGTATTCACAAGTACATTATACCATATTACATGTGTTTTAAACTTCTATAAATGTACGAAAGTCATAAAGAAAGGTCTTGGTGTGTGTGTCGGTTTTGTGGACGCTGGTAACTGGTCACACTGAGAAAGAGAAGTTCTCCTAAGAGAATAGTGTTTTATTTACCCCCGAATAGTTTAAACCATCTAAGACACCTCTACAACATCAAATGTTTGCCAACTTTGAGCCCCAGACATTGAGCTATATAAGTCGGCTTCTTTTTGTGTTCAGGAAATTCCTGATGTACTTATTAGCTCCGACGAAGAGCGTCTAATACCCACTTTACCCTTTGACCAGAGACGTTTGTATAACCTGTCTAGGATAGCCAGTCTTGAGAGGCGACTAGTCTTCAAGCCTCATAGCGATTGACCTGTTGACATGTCAGCCCTCCATTTGCAAGAAAATCTTTCAGAGCCACTATCATAGTCTTTATTCAAGTCGAGCTTCCTCAGCGCGTTGTTTAAAAAAAAAGAGATTCGCTGATCAGAGGGAAGTGAAATCAAAGCCGTTTTGGAACGATTACCTTGTAAACTATGGACGTTTCTTGAATCAACCATTAACAAGTATTGCCTGGAACCTTTCTGAAGCATCGTGATCTAGTTTGTGTAAACAAGATGATCGTGGCAATGAAATCATTACACTCTGAAATTGGTCTTTTTGCAGTGCTATAAATTCTCACAATACTTAATCGTGATTTTATCAAATTGATCATTGGACTTTGCAATTCATTCCAGCAAAATGATCCAGAGTCTTCGACCTGTTTGGGTAGAAAAGGTGGGCCAATATTCCACAGGTACTTGGCACAAGTATGGCGGCTGACATTCGAACCAGCATAACGGACGTTTCTTTCCGCTATGGTTCTGAAACAGACAGGCTTCGCGACGGGGCGTAACCATTTCAGTTTCACGTGCTCGGTAAATGTTGTGTAGATACACTTGCAGTCAGCATACAAAAACAATAACTACAGCGGCAGCAGCAACAACAGACATCCCAGACCGACATGTGCGACGACGACGTTGCTGCCCTTGTAATCGACAACGGCTCCGGTATGTGCAAGGCCGGGTTCGCCGGAGACGATGCCCCGAGAGCCGTGTTCCCCTCCATCGTGGGAAGACCACTGCACCAGGCAAATATCACGTTAACTATTCTCATCAAAAGTAAGATGCCTCTAAAAATGAGACACACGCATACATACGAGTGTGGACTCGTGAACAAAAGATGTCCACGCGATGCAGGAAGGGAAGATGTTCTGAAGACTTACCCACGCCCACAGGACGTTTTCTCTTCCCTGAAAAAGAGATACAGGGATATTTAGGGTTAGGGTTGTCGTCTAAAAAGGAAGAGGGACGGTTAAGGGTGCCATACAAAGATAGCTTTAAATAGTCTTCATGGTTCAAGAAAATGACTATTTTTCTTAACAGCACGAAAACGTAGCAGCTTTGGTTTAGTTAAGTTTCTTTTATAGATTTTACCCTTTTCGTTGATAATAAGCCTGTCATGGTTGGCATGGGACTAAAGGACAGATACGTTGGAGATGAAGCCCAGAGCAAGAGAGGTATCCTGTCCATCAAATACCCCATTGAGCACGGTATCGTCACTAACTGGGACGATATGGAGAAGATCTGGCATCACACCTTCTACAACGAGCTGCGTGTGGGACCAGACGAGTACCCCGTGCTGCTGACTGAAGCTCCTCTCAACCCAAAGGCCAACAGGGAAAAGATGGCACAGGTAATTTTCTGAAAACTGCAGGGAGGAAATATTTTCGCCAGAACCCCAAAACGAACATATCATGCCTCCATTAGTTTAAATGGATATATGGCTGCATCCAAATATGTTGTCTAGAGCTAGGTCTAGGTCTTCGCTCCATTGGAAATGCGTGGAGACGCGCAGACAATAGACCTAGCCGTAGCTCTGGAAGCCCGTTTCGGACACGGCCTAACTCTCCTCCTGTCTCAACAGACCATGTTTGAGACCTTCAACACACCCGCCATGTACGTTGCCATCCAGGCCGTGCTGTCTCTGTACGCCTCTGGCCGTACCACCGGAATCGTGTTCGACTCTGGTGACGGTGTGTCCCACACTGTGCCCATCTACGAGGGCTATGCCCTGCCCCACGCCATCTTCCGTCTGGACTTTGCTGGTGGTGAATTGACCGACTACCTGATGAAGATTCTCACAGAGCGCAGCTATCGTCTCTTCACAACTGGTTAGTTCTGTTTTAAGGGCAAATAGGACATAATACGGGGAAACTCAGTACAAAAAAGCAGTCTGTTTGAAATTACTGTTTTGGGATTCTTATTTTTTTTCTTGCAGCCGAACGGGAAATTGTTCGTGAAATCAAGGAGAAGCTGTGCTATGTTGCAGTGGATTTTGAGCAGGAGATGCAGACCGCTGCTTCCAGTTCATCTCTGGAGCAGAGCCATAAGCTCCCTGACGGACAGGTCATCACCATCGGCAACGAGCGGTTCCGCACGCCGGAAGCCCTGTTCCAGCCCGCCCTCCTTGGCGAGGAGTTCCCTGGCATCGACGGGACCATATACAACAGCATCATGAAGTGCGCCTTGGACATCCGTAGGGATCTGTTCGCCAGCATCGTGTTGTCTGGAGGCTCCACCATGTTCCCCGGCATCGCCGACAGGATGCAGAAGGAAATCACGGCCCTGGCCCCACCCGACTTGGAGATCAAGATCATCACTCCCCCAGAGAGGAAGTACTCTGTATGGATTGGTGGCTCCACCCTTGCCTCTCTGTCCACCTTTCAACAGATGTGGATCAGCAAGCAGGAGTATGACGAGTCTGGGCCCAGCATCGTGCACTGCAAATGCTTCTAGGAGGCGAACTATGAACTCGAAAAAGACGTTTTTTTCATCATCATTTAAGTGGCTTCCAGACACGAACTCTTGATTTCTTAATTCAAAAACCTTTAAGACAGGAAAGTAAGCAAATAACTGTATGTGAGTTGGGGCATTCCAATGAATAAATTAAGTGTTGGGATATAAAGCTCGATCCCAGGAATCCACCTTTTATTCAGAATTCGAAATTGTTGCCTGAGCAAGTTGTGACGTTAAAAAAGAGGAGCTCATAGTGGTATCGGTGTCCTACGTCGAATTTAAACAGTTACTGCATTCAAGATGGCTGTGCTGAATGCAGATGTGATCTCTTAACCATGAATTTTTCTTAGAAGCTTACTTTGTGGAATTGCTGCCCCTTGAAAATACCACTTGACATCACTCTTTTTATTGGTTGCTTTCATTGAAAAGCGCACCTTTCAAACATTTAACAGCTCCCGTGTTTTCCTGAGAAATGAAGACGCTGTTACTTGTTCATGTAGGAGGAGTTCTCCTCAAACAGTGAACCTGGATTTTTTTCATTTGAATATGTTTATGAGAAAGCTTTGCTGGCTTGGCTACATGTCAAAAGCTAACAACGAATCTCCAAAACAAGCACAATTTTATGACAGCAAACTTTCCAAATTCTAGCAAATTGAAGTGCAGAAAAAGCTTTTACACTGATGACTGCTTCCCTTGGATGACATCAGTCTTTACTCATATAATATGTGCAGATTGTCATGAGCATAAAATCCAACGAACATCAGAATGGCCTTAAACGGTACAACCAACATGATAAAGGAAGCATTATTCCCCTTTAAACGTGGAGGAACCGGAGAAAACGAGGCATCCACAAATTGTGTTTCCATTTAACATTTAGGCTAAACCACAGAAAATTTCAAACTGAAAACGACGGATGAAAATCTGCGATTATCTCTCTGAGATAAAAAAAAATGGGAAGTTATAGTTTTGACGACACACAAGAGCTTGCCACCGATCACATCCTGGGATGAAGAGACGAGTATCGTTCCATCATCCAGCCAACTGCTGTGTAACTTTGCCGCGACCTATAAGGCATTCTTAAGCATGAAACAAACGGAGAAGGATGCATGAGTAAATTCACAAAAAATACAACCAATCCAAAAGGCGCTGGTTTTTAGAGACAGACAAAAATCTCAAAATGTCGAAACAGTTAACAAATGCACAGAATTGGATTTCATTGACAAAGAGAACATCCAATGATCTACCGAACCTTTGGAGATATTTACTGCAAAATACTCCATCATTTATTATAAGATGCAGTAGGAAAACGCATGTACAATTATTATTATTGTAACGTGTCAAATAATATTTCTATACAACTGAACCGTAGGTACTATCTGGACGATATATAAACAGTCTTTCATTCCGTAATATACTTTGCTGATAGGATATCGGATTTCTCAGTGTTAACTTTTACAAGAGATTTTCATTTGGCATCCACAGACATTTTATACCCTTTCCTTTAATACATAGTCTCTTAAATGTACATCAGAAGTGTCTGTAAGAAATTGTACAAAAGACTCCAACTTCGGAAGCTGGGTGACTTTTCCAGAATCTCCTCTTCTTTCTCATTTTTAGCGTCTTTTACTTTAATGAGTTCAGTCTCTTGGTTGAGATCTTTAAAGCTCAATGCAGCTCCACTTTCCTCGGTTAAAATCTCCTCCCGTGTGATATGAGACAGTGGCGCACTCAGGACTCGTCGGGGGGAGGGGCTCGAACCTGAAGTTACACCCAAAATAGCTCGTTATGCTCAAGCCCCACCCCGAGCTCCACTCCCACCCCACCCCCGGTTTCGCCACAAGGAGACTAGGATGTACGACTTTATCAAAGCTAGTAGTTTTTAAGATGTTTGTTTGAAATTGCTTGTGGTGCTCGAGATGGAATGCATAATCTCAAACGAAGCCTTTGTTTGGGAAAGGCAGTTGAGGTCGCGGTTGGTGCCCGATTAGTTCTTGAATTTCTTTATCACAAACTCCGCGCCGTGTTCCTGGTACTCCTGCCTGCTGACGGGCAACTCTGGGTAGCCCTCCCACTCTGCCAACAGGGCGCCGCCCAGCCACGCCGACCACGCCCTCATGGGCGGGGTCAGCACCCGTACCTCTGCCCCGTGCCCCGCTAGCAGTGCCTTCGCCTCCAGCTTCAGGCGGTCAGACAGGTTGGTTGTCAGGGTGGAGCCGCCGGCGGTGACAATGGCCCCGCGGAGCGGCACTCGGGCCGACTCGGCGCAGAGCTCTAGGCTCCGGTGGGCCATCTCGTGGAGGCCTGGGGAATCCACCGCGCCCAGGAGGGAGGGTTGGAACAGGGGCTCCGTACATCGGAAACGCTCCGTTCCGACGGAGATAACCTAAACAAGAGATGTAAAACTGTGTAATGTAGATGATTGGGTGAGAAACACTAGATGAGGGGCGTGTCTCCCCCCTTGCAACGATGGGCCATTGTCTGGATCGAATTCAGACTGATACACGCTGGTAATAAAAAGTATCCAAACACATCAACCAATCCTGTGACGTGAGTTCTCATATCAGCACGGACCCCATCTAAGGAAATCTGCACCCACAATGCCTTCGAACCGACTGAAGCCAAGTGCTGATGGCCATTTTACCGTGCCAAATACAAAGGTGATGGTTGGCTCGCTTGCCATTTTAACTACTGATGCCACGAACGAATTTGGTTAATAATGGTCAGCAAGCTTTGGTGTTAGCTTTGCATTCTGCACGGTAAGATGGCTGCCGGTGGCTTCATATGAAATCCGTGTGCCGATAAAAGGCAGTATACTGGTCCAGATTCTTTATATGAAGTCCGTGGCGATGGTGGTGAAGTCAGCGACGCGCATGTATGACAAAGTCACTTGCGAACGAAGGGGGGGAAAATAATGAGACTTGAACTGACACCTTACCTGCCCGTCTGGCAAGGTGTAATCTTTGGTCGCCGACCCTGCAAACTTGAACTCTCCCTCATAGTCGCAGGCCACGTAGCTCAGTTTCTCCTTGATGGCCATGGCAATCTCGCGATCAGCTGGATTGGGCGAGATTGAGCGAGATTTTGTGATAGGTTTGTGTTACTTTTCTCCACCCTCGCTCTTAAGACATTATAGGTTCGTCACAGTGGCGTAGCTGAAGTGCAAGACAATATTGATCAAGTACCAACTCGCGCTTGGTCCATGCTTTGTGACAACTTTTTCACTTCAGTCGGCGAAGGGTCGTAAACAGTAAAGCAGACAACTGCAGATTACCCCCCGAGCCAATACGTCGCCGATTACTAGTCACAATCAATACAATGCCATTGTAAGCTGTTTCCCATTTGATAATCGATGGTTCAATCTGTTTTGCGATAGGTTAAAAAAGGTGAAAAATTAAGGGTGATTAAAAACAAAGAAGGAAGAACTGAGCCTTAATACAAAATATCTTTCAGACTCACCTATCGAGATGTCCTCTCGCTCGTTCAGAAACTTCATCAAGAGATCTGTCATCTGTCGGCCGGCCACCACGTCGGAGGTCACGATCGCTTCATGAACGACGGCGCCGTCTACGACGGGGACGGTACTGGCCATGCTGTCTCCCACGTCCACCACCAGGCCCGTGGTTCGGTCTAGGCTGATGAGGGCCAGGAATTGCTGCAGGGCCATGTAGAACGAGGGCACTTTGTACTTCTCGAACATGATCTGCAAACAGACCAAAATAAAATGGTGCGAACGTATAAAAGGAAGGCATGTAAAATACATGGACGTAAATGTCTTCACAACAGATGTGAGAACACTGGTAGCAGAAACGAGTGTTTGTTGCCATTTTAGTTTGGCTATCTTGGGAATGCCAGATTATTTAAGATGAGCCGAAGATGTTGGTTTAATTAATTAATTTCTCTTACAGAGGAAAGACTTTGTTGTCGGGGTTGTAATTGTGTTTGACGCAGTTGTCTTCATTGTTGTTGTTTGTTGTTGCTACTATTGTTTGTTGTGTTTTGCCTCTGGTGTTGTTTTTGTTGAATTGTTTTCGCCGCTGGTATTGTTTTTGGTGAATTGTTTTTGCCAATGGTGTTGTTTTGTTGAACTGTTTGTGGCAATGGTATTGTTTTTGTTGAATTGTTTTGCTTCTGGTATTGTTTTCGTTGAATATTATTTTTGCCAATGTTGTTGTTTTTGTCGAATTGTTTTTGGCGCTGGTATTGTTTTTGTTGAATTTGTTTTGCCGCTGGTGTTGTTTTGTTATTTTGTGTTTGCCGCTGGTATTATTTTTTTGTCGTTTTGTTGTTATTTCGTTGTTGGTACCTCGGCGAGTTTGGCCCTGGACTTAGCCTTCTCTGTCGCCTCCAGGGGGCCATCGGTCAGCAGGACGGGACACTCTTCCAGCGAGTCGCAGCCCAGCACGTCCAGGTAAGAGAACTTCCAGATGTTGCACAGGTCCTCCGTGTTGTCGAACGCGAAGCGGTACTTGTCCACTGGGTAGCTGAGATTTAGCGTGTCTCGGATCTCGTAAGCATCTTCCCCGATCAAGACGTCCGACGCCTCGCTGGTCGAGATTGATCCCTGTGAGGGGCACCATCTTGTACTTGTTTTAATCAAGGTGCAGGATTTTTCAACTAGGAAGGTTGCCTGAGATATTCTGGAGAGTCCTCCAAGGCATACTCTCCCAACCCCCACCCCACGGCAAGACAGTTGAGAAGAGGGTACGGGGCAGAAGTGGTTAAATAGTTCCCGAGATTGATTACACGGAGCATGGCTGCGCCATGGTAGATTCGTTTAGTTATGCACACAACCTTATTTCTAACACTCTGGGTTTTTAGAATGCATTTTTTATCAACCTAGAAGGCTTGATAAAAACGTGAATGTTCTCAGTTCCTCTTTAAACTTAATTGACAACGACAATGGTGTAAAGAGAAGTGGAGAAAATTATTAATGGAACCAATACAACTCGCTTAACTGAAGAAAAACAAAGTCAACGAACACATGCAAAAGTATTACAACAGTTTCCTCTAAATTGTAGCAAGTACTTTTAAGAGAAACCCTGTACAAGTAGGGAAGATGAGACACAAAACACCTAAATATCATGTAGGCCTACAGTAGAATTTCCATTAATAAGAACAACGTTAAAACAACACTGCTACTGAGAAGGAAATTTTAGGACCCAATCTGATAATACACGGTTGCTGTTATGACAAGTTTATCTGCATAGTTCACAGAAGATACTTACCTCTTTCTTACGCCCAACCAGGGTGCGAAAGGACTCCTCCGGCACGTCACGGCCAGAGATCCCCACACGGGTCTGGTAGGCCCCGCAGTCAATCACGATGGTACGCACCGAGCTCATTCTCCGCCTTGTACAGGATACGCTCGACAACTGCGAACAACTCAGAAATCACAGGCTGTGTCCGGGTTACTCGGCTGCGACTGGCTCTAACACGCGCACCTGTCAGGAAACCGCCAGCGAGCGGCTTCCTGCATCTCCCATAAGCACATGTTTCTTTCCATCCGTAGCCAAATAACCAAGACACGACCTTGGACAATTGTTTGTCCAGCTACAATAGTTGATTTTTATACAAAAGCTAACTCCACTTGAACGTACATTGAAATACGCGCTACACTTATTTCACCTTCGCTTCCCACGGGGGGGGGTGGGAAATTAGATGCATTTCGAGTGTCCTACGGATTCCTAACCTCGTAAGCTGGAACCCACTCAACAATCAACATAATCGTTAAAAAACCAAAGAAACAAACATGGCGTGATACCAGTGATTTGGTGTGATTTGTACATCAACATACAGGTTTGCATTCCAAATGAGTAATTCTGTACAAGAACTATTAGGTGAGTTCGACCGATATCAGCATTTGAATTTAAAACTAGAATATCGTTGCAGTCGAGAGGTCATGCGATTTTTTCACGTGAACAAAACTTGCGTCAGTCTTTGATATCCCTTTCTCGGAAAAAAAAGGGTTCCTTGGTCAATGTTTATTGTGCCAACAGATCGTCCGGTTTGTCGAACTTGAGCATGCTGCTTAACATGTAGAGATTCTTTGAAAACATGCCCACGAACTTCGTTTTCAGAGGAAGTTTTGCAAGTGGGATTTTGCCTCGTGGCAGTTCCGTATACTGCCGAAAACAAACAAGCAGTGGAATAGGTGCCATAACGGTATGTGCCTTATTGAACCAGTATTCACGAGAAAATGACCAAGATACTCACATGGAATCTACTCGCCGACCTCCTGGCCAAGTCAACTGCGTGCGTCTCTGTGCTTGTTAAGTATCCCAATTGGGCAAAGTCAGTTCATTCAGAGCTCTTCCGGTTTGCAACGCTAACACAACAATGGCGGAATGGAATAGTCCGGGGAGCAGAAAGTTGACCTGAATTACATGTGAGGCGGCAGACAAACACGGATCTAAAACAAAATGGGTCGCCTTCACATTTCCGCTTGGTTTCCCGTGCTGTAGAGAGCTGTGTAAATTCCATGGATTATTTTCAATTTATAGCTCTGTGGTAAGTCCGCGGTCATCTGTAGGCCATACTCAGGCCTACCCTCAATCACGATATTATTGCCAGCAAAATGTAACCCCACAGGCGGCCAAAGTTTGCAGGACTCATCCTTTGAGCTGGTTGGAGGTAGATTTTTTGCCTCAAGTTGTACATTTGCCCCACAAACTGTTCGCATTTGTTTTAATCGATATTTTAACAGCTGCTTGAGATTTCTGGACACTTTGACGGCCAGCCATGGTTTAGTAGCCATCGTGGTAGGCCAACAAAACTGTGACTGGGTGTGTAGAAAGAGATAGAGATCTCTATTCTCTCTGCCGAAGGAGTCATGGTCTCAGTGATGGTAATTAAGCGATCACTGGCATGATCAGTGAGAATGACACAGCTGACGGGATTGATCTTGACGGGGAAGACGGGGCTGCAAGAATGACCATATGAAGCAAGATACGAGACGGAGAGAACTCCCCCCTGCTTTGTGTTGGTCATAGTGTCACTAGAATCTGAGGAATTCTTTTCAGACATGGGGGGGGGGTTGTAACAATGGTCAAGTGTGTGTAAAGCGATAGGACATGTTGGGGGGGGGTACCCCTGGTCTCATTTCTTGCTGGATATAAGAATGACAGTGGATCATTTTTGAACGTCGTCTGAACAAATCCCATCGTACTGATTGGTGGGCCTGATTAAATTTTGATCACGTACCACATTGTTCGTGCTGTAAAATAGTTCAATTCAACGGTCAATATAAACTCCATTACGTTTCGAGTTTCACTTCGTTTGAGAGTTTGATTGTCCGTGTAATGTAGTCCTTCGGTGTGCACGCGTTCAAGGATCGAAGGATCGTTTTATGGAACTTTGATTGGAGTTTTCGTTAACCCTGACTACCTAGGGTGTGTGTAAAATCATGTTAAAATTGGAGGATTCAGGACTGTTAGGTTTAATTAATATAGAGTGGAGTTCTAAGTTTGAACAGCCAACGCGGTCAAGGTTCAACGCTGTGCAACATCCTTCCCGTCCAAACGCACTGTCCGGTAGACCGATGTGGGAGATAGAGATACGGGACTTCATATTTACTTTAAGAGCTTTGCAGATGGTTGTTTTGGTCTCAAAGAACTACAAAAAGTTGACTTGGGCTTTAGAATTCCCATCTGAGAGTGCTCATGAGTTGTAAATCTGAGGACATCAAATCTGTACGAGAAAAACTGTATAGCATGCTAATCGGGAAAGTCAGAAGTAGTGATCATGAGTCGCTAATTTAATCTAAAGCCCTCGGAGCCGCAAAGCCAAAAAGGGGACCTTTTCTCCACGCGGAGAAAATCATCCCCACAGCAGTTCCCGAGCCCTCGGTCATGCCTGAGCTAGGCCTGGACGACTGTTTTTGGTAGCCAATACATCCCTCAGGTCCCCTCCCTAACTACATTCCATTATGCTGCTTTGGAAGTACATTTGTAGCCACGCCCCCAAAATAACTCCGAGCTGCGAGGTGGATGTTTTATACTACAAGGTCATTTCCCGGTCATATGGGCATCTTTGGGATACTGATCTTTCAACAATTCTTACTCTGCAGTGGTTGAGGTCTGGCCAATGGGAGTCTACAGGCTTGTAGTGTATGCCAGGGGTGAAGATTATATGAAATGTTTAACCATTGGCCCATTGGCAAAAAGTTATGACCATAATTATTTGGTGATATGTGGAGACTTTTATCCCCGCGGGGTTGGCAGATGTGAGTATCAGTAACAACAGATGAACCATTACTTCCTTTGTCAGACTTACAGTTAACAGCTTAAGACTCGCTTACAGACTGAGGACATCTGAGGAGTTGTTTTCGACATCCGAGGACGTGTTCCGTTTGAGAACGTCCTCGGTTTGAAATTGCTTGCAAGTCAAATGAGAGCGGCAATCAGTTTAAAGTATGAACACAGGAAATGAAGAGGCCTATTGACAACATGAACAAGCCGACGTGTGTGGCAGGGCGGACCAGGATCCAGTAAGTGAAAGCACAATATGTTTCAGCCGAATACACCATGTGATACCTATTTCGGGCTGCAACGATCTGCAATGTCATTGAGCATCATATTATCCGAGGAAGTGGGGAAACCCGACACACTCGTGTGCACTGTGATTTGCACTCCTGTCGATGCTGTCGCAGTGTGTTATCTTTACTTTGGCCAAAGTTCAGATGATGCTCTACTTTGCAGTGTTCATTTGAATCTAATTATAGCGCAGTGGCAGACTTCTGACACAGAAACCAGTATTTGGCGGCAAGTTAACTGGTAAGCACTGTTTTAAATATTGTCATCGTGTTGTTTGTATCCACGTGGTAACAGATTTTTATGCTGGCTGGTACATTTTCTGTCATGCTGTATGTGAATAGCAATAAATCGAACCAAATCAAACCCAATGCTTGACTGCCTCACCACTATTTTATTCTTTTTATCACGGGCCTACAAATATGCAAGGACATGTGTACATCAATACTAACTTATGATTAAAATAGCGTCCCCGATTGCTACAATCTATTGAAATCACTTACGGTATAGTGAAGATTTAACTTTCAGAGATAAAATTGAATAAGGACTTGATGATACGAAGGACACAGCGAAATCGCAGTATTCGAGTAAGCCATCACAAATCCACCACAGGTCATTCAGTCCCAAGCCAATTCGCAAACTATTCAAATGAGCTGTGACAAAAGCATTCTTTTGTCATTGTTCATCCAGATACTGAGGACTGACCTTGTGAAGGGAGTTGTGGCTGCACTTGTCAAGGGAGTGTGATGGACTCGGAAGCAACGCTAGGAACTAGTACGGTAGCCGATGCTATAGACATACCATCTTAGCTGCTTTGACGAAACTGCAGTTGGAAGACTGAGAGGCGATCCTCTACGTCTGAATGCGATCCGTTTTTCATTACTTCACACATTGCCTCTAAAAGGCATGAAATTCAAGCACTGCAGAAAACGAACTTAATGGATTTCGCCCTTCATGGAATAAAAAAAACAACGTGGGTTGCCGATGAAAAGGCACCGAACGCATATTGCTTTGATGTACTGTTAGTATGCCAAAACATTAGTAAACAATGAGTGAGCGACAGAGGAAAAGAATTACCCCGGAATTGTATCGTCAAATTACATTGATGAAATGGCATAAACCTAAACGTAAACCTGCAACATCACAATTAAAAGGAGGCAAAAGATACTTCAGAGGATATCCATCTATGAAATCTACACAGCTCTCGGCTGAATTATTTATGAAAGGTACTTCTAAATAGTGTATCTCTATGATAATCTATTCAGCGCTTAGCTGCCAAACAAAACCACTCAGGTTGACTTGAATCAAAGTTTGAAGGACTTAATTAAGTCAAATTTGGGTCTGCACTGTCGGTGAATAAAATTAAAATTATGACACCAAAGGTAAACCAGAAGCTGAAAAACTGATGGGTTAGGTGATCAAGAACAACTGCGTAGGGAAAGTACGGTTCCTGTCATTTAAGGTTGGAGAAAGCAGGAAATTCAGTGGTGTTTCTTATTTATGCTTCCATCGCAATCCAGTAGCAAGTTGGCAATTCTGCTGCCAAGCGCCCTCTCGCGATGTCAGCCAAACGACAACTGTAAAATTATGTGACCCCATAACGTATCGGGATTTAAACATTCAATCCAATTACAATATTGCATCCATCCAGTATATAATTTAGCATCCCCAAACTGTAAGTCCTTCTTTTGACACAAAACATCGACGTCTTGGCCTATTTCGCCTCCTTCGCACCGCAGCGGTGCACGATACTTGGGCCAGACTCTTCGTATTCTTGCTTGCTGATCCACATCTGATGTAGGGTGAGCTGTTTGGCAAGGATAGAGCCACCTATCCACGCAGAGAACTTCCTTTCCTGAGGAGCGTAGACTTTGACCTTCGTCGATGGCGGAGCCAGGGCGGTCAACTCCTTCTGCATTCTATCGGCGAAGCCGGGGAACAGTGTGGAGCCGCCAGCAAGAACCACGGTAGCGTACAGGTCCTTGGTGTGCTCCGCCCCGCACTTCTCAATACTGTCGTGCGCGAGCTGGTGGAGTCCAGGCTGGGACTCCTCGTCGGCCAGGACCGCCGGCTGGAAGAGAGCCTCCGGGCAACGGAACCGCTCATTGCGCAGGGTGATGACCTCTCCGTCGCTGAGCTCGTAGCTGTGCTCCGGGGACACGTCGGGCATTTCCTTCTGCATCTCCAGGTCGAAGTCAAGCGCTATGTAGCACGACCTCTCCTTGTAGCCTCTGATGGCGTCTAAATCCACTGCAATAAAAACAAAGGTGATTTCGGATCGACATGAAACCAATGACTTAGTCCCAAGAGTCCTATTGGCTGCAAATTATCTTTGAAAATGAGTTTGATTCCTTTTCCAAAAGCACTGACAAAAAGGTACAGTCCAGCGTCAACAAATTATGGAGATCAGCGAAAGTTTAGGATTCATGCCGAAGATGGTGGGCAGATTTGACAAAGCGGGAACCAGCTACTGGAAATATGCAGGTGTGTCATATCTTGGCTGGAAATCAGCTTTTGATATAGAGCAAATCTTATTCTTACAAATTTGCCTGCTTGGCAGCTCTATGAAGTTCTAGCTCCTGCGTCGTAGTCAATGAAAAAGGAAGACTGTTTCATCGGCTACGATAAAAGAATATTCTGCGACGTTTGCGCAATGCACCTTTCAAGTCATGTTTCTGAGCAGGAAAATGCTTAGGGATGGAGTCAGCTGAAATCTAGCCTGAGAAGGTGGTGTAAAAACTTACACCGCGTTTTGAAATTGTATCCGCTTTCCGTAAGGATCTTCGTTAGGTACCACGTCAGATCATAGCCGCTGTAGTCCACACTGAGAATGGCGTCGGTCACCGCGTAGCCGTCGCAGACGGGCACCGCGTGCGAAGCGCCGTGACCCAACTCGCACACGAGTCCCGTAGTTCGACCTGAGGCGTAGAGTGACAACACAGGCTGCATGGCCACGTAGATGGCAGGCACTTTGAAGATCTCAAACATGATCTATGGATAGATTACAAATCAACTTCTGTAAGTTCTGAAGGAACATTAATTGGTCTTAGCAATTTAACAAATTAATCGTTGTTCGTAGGAAACTAAGCCCCAAACTATACTGCTTTTTCACAGACACAAAACGTTAACCGTAAGCAGCCTTCGATCCATCGAATTTAACATTAACTTTTTTTACACATACACTGGTGGGTTGGTGTGAAAAAGTAATTAAAACATTATAAAAGAATTAAATAAATTATACAAAATAAACTAGAAATTAAAGCTTTTTTTCTCAGGTAGAACCCTCACAGGGGTTGAATAAATATCACGGGACTGCAAAAATGAGGCGCACTTTGCGACTTTGAAGAACAAAGTGATGTTGCATGTAACAATAACTTTTTTCACCTGTGCCATCTTTTCCCTGTTGGCCTTGGGGTTAAGGGGAGCTTCAGTCAGTAGCACAGGGTGCTCCTCCGGTGCCACGTGCAGCTCGTTGTGGAAGGTGTGATGCCAGATCTTCTCCATATCGTCCCACTTTGTGACGACACCGTGCTCAATGGGGTACCTTATGCTGAGAACACCTTTCAGGCGCCGGGCTTCACCTCCGATGTAGGTGTCCTTTTGTCCTGGGCCAGCCACGCCAGCCTGGTGAATGAAGAAAAAGCACCCAGATTTAAAATTCCCACAATTCAAAGAGCTTTAGGCCAATGTTTGACTTTTCTGTCATCTTCAACTAAACCTCTTTAAGGAGACAATACTCTTCCGTGTCATTGGACGCCATCTTGTATTTATAGCAGCCTACAGATGACTGTAGGTCTTGGGAGGTCTTCAAGAAGTTATCAACGTCCTTAAAAAATCAGGAGTGATGCCTTGTCGGAACTTTAAGCGTGCAAACACAAGAAACGTGGGTTATAATGGTTTCATATATCAGCATCTTCCCATGTGGGTTGGCATGTAGGTCGTCGCATTATCCGGCTCAACGACTTAATGAACAACCGCTCTAATGCTTACGAATAACCGATTGAGCTTGAATGAGTGGGTAGCCCCAGAGTGATGGGAGAATGACCGTAAAGATGGCTCTCTGCAAGATTGACTATGACTGTCAAATCGACGACTGATCAACCGATTAAATGATGTTTTTTTTCGGGGGGGGGCGGAGTGACTGCTCACCAAAAACGCTGGTTGGACGACTAAACTATGATTGAATGACTACACGGCCAAATGAATGAAGACAGGCAATACGCGGCTGCCCGAGTAACCACTTGTTTAATAAACGGAAAAATTAAAATTGGGTCAATTGTGCTTGCAAGATGATCGAGTGATTGATTCAGTTTCATCAATTTTATGTGTCGCTCCTTACAACTTTGCTCTTTCCTCGGATTAGTAGTAGGGGATATTGGAGGGGTTCTGAACGTACAATCTATTAGACTTACATGGCGCGGTATTCCGACGACGTTGGGGAACACAGCCTTCGGCTCGTCCTCTCCAGTCACCCCGGCCTTGATACTATCGGAACCGTTGTCAATCACCAGGGAGGTTGCTTTGTTACCGCCAGACATTTCTAACAAAGGTGTATTTTGCGTTTCACAAAACTGTAAAACCTGAAGTCGTTGACAGGCCATAAAAGCGGAAAACCATTCTAAAAATTCTAGATCAACTGTCGCCAAATGTGGTGATGAAAATTTATTTCAGGAATTCGACCAGGAAATCCACATCGTATGAGACAGGGTTACCATAGTCACATAATCGCTTTACGCCAAATTTAATCTGTGAAATGAAGGATATCTTTATAAACATCTGTATTGCAACAATAAAGAAGAGGAGTATAATTCAACTGTCTAAAGACAATAGATTGCAACGATGATCTACATTCAACTACATATTATTGTTCTGATGAACCGTTGATTCAGTTCAATACAGTACAATCGACATACTTTCGCACAGGTGAACCCTAATTTTCCGAGGCACCAGGGGTCACGCTCCTAACTTCCTAAGGCTACATAAAATGAAAAGCGATTTGGAAACTAGTACATTTCTTCCCAAAGCATGTAAAAATCCTCAGTTTAGCCTTAACTATTACCCTTAGGAAGGCCATAGTCGGTCACATAAAGAAATATCCAACTTTTTACTGTCTGCGTGGGCAAGTGTTGCCCCCCATACGAAATTTTGGCTTTGGTTCAGCCCTTGTCAGGGGACAAAGTGGACGAAAAGTGGTCTCAATAGCCGAACATGGCATGGGGAAATCTGCATACCGTCGCACCACGTAGGCCGCAGTTCTTTAGAGAATGCAGCAGTACCTGACTGTTCCAATCCCAATAATCAACAAGTGATAATTACCGGGCATTTATTTATACTCGGCCAATTTGACATGGAATCGCATACTCAGGAAACAAGAGAAAAAAATGGTTTCCTCGTAAATCAGGTCTATTCTTTAGGGCTTTGAATACTATCGATGAACTAGTTTGAACTTGAACTACTGCATACATGTATATCTTCTTCAAGTCCCTGAGCCTTGGCACACATCGACACTCGTCATTCCCAATCATGGTTGGCTCCTACAAATAGATGTATTTATCACGGCGCAATTACTGATTTTCCTGCTAAATTCTCTGACCATATCATTTGGGAATATTATCAACCCCTACCACCGATCATCCTACTGAATTATCACATGAACAAGCATTACATACTACACTTATGTCGCCAAACAAAAAGAGAGGAAAGGCTCCCTACTCTTCACATAATTGCACTGTGAGCATCTAGTTCTGTCCTCATTAACATAAATCCAGAATTCATTACCTGCTTTTTTTCGAGTCCCTATCCCTCGTCACTCGACGTCGGAAGAAAGTCTGAAGTACGCAAGCACTGAGTCTAGTTGGCCGCAGAACGGAAATCACAGGCAGTTTGGGCAGAGACTTCCGGGTTGCGAAAACGAAGTCGCACGATTGCTGTCACTTGTGGAAAATTCAGTATACTAGGCTGCAAAAATGCTCACTAGTATTAAGTAGCAGCAATCGTGTTACTGTACTGAATGGGTCGATCAGACT